GTCTTCATTTTCACTGTCCTTCCTCACAACCGGACGCGTCGTAGGTGCTTAGTGAACGTCCTGTCCGTTTCTTTCTGTTTGGATCAACTCTACCGAGTAAGTCGCACCCAAACGGAGGTCCTTGATTCGGAAGGTGTGTCTCCATGAAGAACTCTCTCGATGCTTTTCTCCGATGCACAAGGAGATTGGTCTTTCTCTCAAACCATTTCTTTTCCAGTTATGAAAGTCCTACGCACACACTGGGGGCATTTTAGAAAATGACATACGGGGAACCATGAGAAACGATGCGCCACAGTGTTTCCTGACAAGGGAACAAATGTTGACGATGTGAAAAGTCCAGGGACGAAAGCAGATCACCGAGCTGTGTGTAAAGTATGGTGGAATTTATGATTCGTGCCTGTGTCACGTGAGCGCACAGACACGAGGAAGAAGCCATGCGGATGCACCGAAGCTGGCAGCTCTATCTCCATAGCGCCAATGGTCTAGAACCAGATTCCAGGCACCCCTGCCCCGCACCTCCTTTGCAGGCAGACAGCGCAGGCTTTATAGCTGCCTCTCTTTTTCTGGTTCCCCTCACCAACTCCATTCCATCTGTCTCCAAGCAGGATTCCTCCAAGGCCTGGTGCACAGTGCTTATGTACAAAGGTTTCTGGACACCTGTCAGTACTGGAAACTGTGGGACCCGATCTCTCTTCCCACCGAACTCTTGTTAAGGTGCATCCTCTGGTAGCCCTGGCTACGCTGGGTTGTCCACCTACCTGGTCACTGTTGGTTGGACCTCGGGTGGACCCCTGGCCAAATTCACCTGGCTCTGCAAATGGCTGTCCCTAGAAGTGTGGGGTGGCTGTTTTCCTGGGAGAAAGGCTTGGTGCAGAGAGGCCACCTGTTTCGTGTTCGCCTTAGGGAGCATTGCGTGTGTGCGTGCGTGTGTGCGTGCGTGTGTATTGGTGGGGGGGCTTCTGTAACTCCGTGCTTTAAGGATGGGTAGGGTACTGAGGAACAGGTGCTTCGCTCTTTCCCACGGCTCACGTTTGCAGCACCGAGGTCCTTGCTGCTCCGTCTCTTCCATCGAGAGCCAGACTCAAGAGCCTGAGAAGAAAGGCTGCCTCCAATCCTGAGAGCATCGACTCCCCCATTGCCAGTCCTCTTCCAGGCCGCTGTATTTTGCCCGTGGGTTTTTGAGACATCCTTTTATGTAATGACTACCTCCGTTTTGCTTAAGCCACCTTCGCGTCTGTTACTTGCAAACTGAGAGCTCTGACACATACAGGCGAAGCGTTTGCATCTCCGGCTAGAGCCATGAAATTTAAAATTTCCGAAACTTATCAGAAGCATTTGATGGCTTATATCTGAGATCGCTTTTAGCTTTTTCGCTAGTTCTGTCTGTTTCTTTGTTTTCTGCTTCTCCTTCCCTCCCCCGCTCTTTGCTCATAGCCACAGCTAGGACACTTTCCAACTCTCCACAACATACCAGCCTTTGTGGACTATAAATAGGAAGACAAACGAGGCCGGGCAGTGGGAGAAATTGTCATTCAGGGCTGGCGATTGTAATAAAATTAAATGAGAATGTCTGGCATGCTTTATGGAAGGCTGAACATTTTCAGGTCGAGCTGGATTTTTTTCTTCTTCTTTAATTGGCTGGGGTGAGGGCAACCCCTAAGTTAGGACAGGGTTCCCTCTTGGTCATCTGCTGAGTTGCAGAGTGAGAGGGAGTGTACACAGCCTAGATCTGCTCTGGGGGGTGGGGGGAAATGGTGGGGACACTTTAAGCCATTCTTTAAACACAGAGGAACAGTTGTCATCTCCCCTGTAGATGTGAGAGATCCCCTTCCATCCCCTCAGGTCACTTGGATGGTTGCTAGGTTGGAGACGATGCCCCATCTTTCCTGGGAGAAAGGCTTGGTGCAGAGAGGCCACCTGTTTCGTGTTTGCCTTAGGGAGCATTGCGTGCGTGCGTGCGTGCGTGTGTGCGTGTGTATGTATTGGTGGGGGGCTTCTGTAACTCCATGCTTTAAGGATGGGTAGGGTACTGAGGAACAGGAGCTTCGCTCCTTCCCACGGCTCACGTTTGCAGCACCGAGGTCCTTGCTGCTCCGTCTCTTCCATCGAGAGCCTGACCACAATCATCCCCACATCTTCCTTGCTCACCCTTCTACTCTTGGAGGCCTCCCCTCCGTCAGCAGGGTTGTTTTCCAAGACTTCTGGGGAGCCACTGTTTCTGGCTCTGATGGTTTGCAGCAAGCTGAGTCTCTGGTGGCCTCTAGTGAGAGAGTTTGAAGCTGCAGGGGATGACAGTGGCTGCCGAGCCAAGCTGTGGCCTCCACGAAGCTGCCTGTTCTCCAGCATCTTGCTTCACCCCTTGCCTTGCATTCGGCAGTGCCCACGGTGGAGTCAGGACCCCTGAAGCAAGAATGACAAAGAAAGGTTTATTAGCAAGGTATTTTAGAGTGGTGGTGATGGGGGCTGAGACTCTCACTTAATGAGACACATTTCTCTCTAGGAATTAAGAGTCTTGGCAGTTAAAAGACACCCATGGTGGAATTTGGAGAGCCTGGCGAAGGTGTTTTAGCTCTCACTCTACTTTAGGTCATGTTCTTTCCTCTTGGGGAAGCCATTCTTTAGAGGAGATGGTCATGAAAAAGCCCCGAAAACTTGAAATTTCTCTGTAAGCATGTGCTTTTAGGCAACGCCTGAAAATCTGGAGAAGCCTCCTTCTCTGATGACTGGAAATGCATAATTCATATTCTTTCCAAATGGAAAAATAAATTAGAGAAGTTAGATAGCAGTTGTTTGACAAGCAAATTCACGAAAGTTCTTGAAAGAAGAGAAGTAACAAGAAATGAAGCTGACTTGGGGAGGAGAGGAGCTTGCCTTTTCAGCTTGGCTTATTTATTTGAAGGTGTATTCTGTGGAGGCCTTAGTATACATTGGACTTAAAGATTAACTCATTCAGGTCACATTCTGAATCTAGAGGAAGAGGATGGATTATTGAACAAATGGTGTGGGGATTACTAGCTAACCACTGGGAGGAAAATAAAGTTAATGATCAACATCACACAATAGATCAGAATACGTTTCTGAGATTAAATATTTACATGTTAAAAAAAAAGAAGTTATGAAAGCACAACATTGGTGATTGTTTCTCTAACCTTGGTGGCAAAGAAGGTTTTTCTGAGCATAACACTGGTGAGAAAAAAGGAAAAGATTGATGGAGTTTCTGTGAAATATTTGAAGGTCATTAAGAACCATAGACAAAAGACAAGTGACAGAGCGTAAGCATTTGAAACATATCTGTAAAAATTTCTTAGACAACACTAAGAAAGGTAAACAATCTAATGCAAAAGGGGCATAAATGGAAAATATGAATGATTAAAAACATCGGAAATATTAAAGAATTTAGTTTTAAAAATAGTACATTACAGGCCTGTTGGACTTTTTCTTTCATGGCTGTAAACTAGGACATTGCCTTTTTTTTTTTTTTTTTGCTTATGTAGCTAACGTTTCTGAAACTACTGAGTAAATTTGGGGGAGCTGGAAATAGAGTCCCAGCAGCAGACCTGATGGCTGGAAGGGAGAAAGCGTTTTATTGTGGGTGAATGTTTTCAAAGTGCCCTCTAAAAAGTTTGGATCGATTTACACTCTCATCGACTAGATACAAAGATGCCCCTTGTCTCACATCCTTGTGAAAAAATGGGCACGTTTTCCATTTTGGCAGCGCGATAAGGGACAACATCGTGGTCACACGCACACACGGCCACCCATTTTTTATGGGCTCGGCCATGACACTGGCTTGGGCCCGAGGGGCTTGTTGTAAACTGTTGGCTCTGACTTGCGTCCACCTTTCCCGTCAGTTCCTGCTCATCTTCCACAAGGCGGCAGCAGGGGAGCTGCAGGAGGAGAGTGGGCTGATGGCGCTGGCCAAGCTGTCTGAGATCGACGTGGCCCTGGAGGGCGTCAGAGGTGCCAAGGACTTCTTCGAAGCCAAGGTAGGTGGCTCCTTCCTGTGCTGGACAGTTGCCCCCTCCCTCCGTCCTGTCCCCTGGGAGCTCCCGGTCAGTGGCCATCTCATCAACTCCCTCAGGACAAGTGGCAGATAGATCACGTGTGGTTGCTGGGTGGTGACCGCGTGTCTGCGTGCAATCTGAAACTTAGAACGGAATGACAACCAAATGGTCAATGCACTGCATCCTGGTTTCGGGTTCAAACGGGTTTGCTGGTGCAGTACCCTCAGATTGCCTCTTCGTCCAGACTTTCCTAAAGAATTCCTCCCTCCCCCAAACCACGGTTACTTGAATAGCTACCTCCATCTTTGCATCTTACACACCTGTGTGTACACAAGTGAACAACGGGGCCAGAGGAGGCAGCTTTGGTGGCTTGCCCCAAATCAGTATGTTCTCCATGACGATGACAATGACGATGGCATTGGGAAGGACTCCCCAGCACACGGTCTTGGAGCCTGGAGCCCTTCTGGGTCCTTGCATTCATTCGCGTGTTCATTCAGCCGCACAACGCTTCTCGGGAGCGCACCCCTTGCTGGCCTGTCATTTTCTCTCTGTAGCGCACGCCTGCAGGGAGAGAGGTTGGGAGAGCCGTCCGAACCCCGTGTCGCCCACAGCCGTGGGGTCCGGTGGCTAAGGCTCCCTGGGTCCAGAATCCGCCTCCTCCTGTCACCCGTCCGTGCCTCAGTTTCCTCACCTGTACAGTGGGGGCGGTCAGGGGGTTGCTGTGGGGACCCCGCGAGTTTTCGTGTATGTGAAATGGCAAGTGTGTACCGGCCCAGTGTGAGTGCCGCACCCGTGATGGGAGCCTTTGGGACACCCCACCGCTCCAGGGAGGGGCCAGCCTCTTGTGGAGTTTTGGCTGATTCTCGGAGTTTGCCCAGAGACAAACTGTCTCTGGTGACACATCCCAGCTGGCTCGGGCACCCTAAGCAGGACTCTCCTCTTGCTTCCCTGTGATGCTGCTTGGGGGCAGAGTCTGTCCTCATCCCGCCAACGTGCAGACTGTGACTCGTGGTGGACTTGACGCCTGAATCCCTAGCGCTGTCGTCGGGCAGTTTCAGGGGCAGGCGGACCACTTGTCAGGCCTTCAGTACCAGCTCACGTGTCCAGTCTCGACAGTCCTTGGGCCCTTCCTTTATGACAAAACACTGACTCATCCCAGCTCTGGTTACACTCAGGAGATAGAGCTTCTTGACGAGGGAGTGGCAAACAAAGCTCTGGCCCTTCCCAGGACGTGCACACAGGCTAGAGAGGAAAGCAAGCTCTTGGCCTTGGTGGACAGGTAGTAGAGAGGGTTCTATCTAGCGGGTGGCGTGAGTCTGCCCCATCCACTGACGGTGTCGACCCTTGTGATCTCTTGTGGTGCTTTGGGCAGGGGTCTGGCACTGAGACCCAAGCTCAGCCGGACACTGTCTTCACTCCACTGCTGCAATGTGCCAAGTGCTCTCATCGGAGTCCGTGGGAAGTCCTGGGGGATGTCGTATCTGGGCATCCCAGACCTTTAATCATCTGGCTCTGGTCCCCTCTCCAGCCTCATCCGCCCCTGTGCACGTTTCTTCAAATACTGCCACGCTTTTCACACCGGGGCCTCCGAACCCGCTGTTTCCTCTTCCTGGAAGGCCCCACCCCGTGCCTGTTCCTAGGAAGCCCTACTCATTCTTTCAGACCCACGTGAAAGAGTTGCCTCCTTTCGGCAGCTTTCCCTGGTCATCCCAGCCGGGGAAGTCTATGCTCTCCTGCGTGCCTCTATCGTGAGTGGAAATGGTGTTGTAATTCATTTGTTCAGGGCATTCTCGGACCCTTTTGGTAAGAGTATAAAATTGACCCCATTTTTTGGAGAGCTGTTAACTAACATTTCATATCCTTCACCTCTGGAATTCTGCCTCGAGGGTTTTATCCTTCAGAGACACTAAGCAAATGCACGTAGGTTCCTGTACAGTGTTGCTTATGACAGGGGGACGTTAGAAACAACCGAAACGTCCATGACTAGGGAACGGAGTCCATTCTGTTCCACCCACATGTTTGCACACCCGGGAGCCGTGTCCACGTGTGGACAGGTGTCTGAAATGAATTAAGCGAAACAGGGTGTATGAAATCCCATTTTGTAAATATTAAATACGACCTGGATAATGATACACCGAAGTATTAATAATAGTGCTGTCTGAGGGACTCATTTTTAAATATTTTTGTAATGTTTTATAATGGTGCGTGCATTATTTTTATAACCAGGAGAAAAGATGAAAAGAATAACAATAGATTTTTTGAACTTATGTTTATATGTCTGCCTCCCCACCCAGGCTCAAAGGCAGAGTAGGTGTGGTGTTGTCTTTGTAATTACAGTGCCTAGCGCAAAATGGCCCTCATTAAACATTTGCATGAATGACAAATGGCAGGAGCCATTACTCAGATTTGGGGGAGGGCCATAAAGGAGCTGACAGTTTGCGACAGATGTTCAGAGATGAATGGGGATTCACCTTGTAATCAAGGAAGGGAGGGCCTTCCTGCCGTGGGAACAGCAAGGGCAAAGCCTGCAAGGTGGGGAGGGTAAGGAGCATCTGGAGACGGGACCTTGCCTGCACCAGGCGCAGCAGGACAGGGCCTTCTGGGCTCCCTTAGGGGCCAGGCCTTCCCAGCCTGCCAACTACTGGAACCATCGGCAGATCAGCCTCCCAGGCCCCACCCAGATCCACCTGGGATTTCCGCAGGGTGGGGCCCAGGACAAGTGGTATTGAAGAGCTCTGCAGTGCACAACCAGGCTTGGGAAGCGAAGCTGCGGGCACTGGGGGCCCTCGGTGGTGTTTGAGCAGGGCCTTGCCGTAACCAGTGGTGGGTCTTATGCAGATGGACTCGCCTGGGGAGAGGCTGGACTTGGGAGGCTTCCACAGACTCTGGAGAGGAATTGTAGGTCCAATGAAGGTGGTAACAGTGGGCCTGGGGAGGAGGTAGGATGAATCCCACACTCTCAGAATTCTCAGTGTTTATGACAGCTTGATTGGAGGTGAAAAATAAAATGCCACAAGGCTTGTGGAGCTGTGTGGAGAGGGGCTGGTGATATATTTTTTCATCAAGACAGGATCTCCCCTCCCCATTACAATGGAAACGGGTTGAGGAGAAAAAGTTATAAACTGGGTTTTAGTGTTAAGTCCAAGGTACCTTCAGGCAAGGATAGGGCATGGCCCTTTGTTTGAAGGGCAGGGCATTGCAAAGAGTTTCTGTTCCCATCCTGTTGGACAGAAGATGGCCACATGTGGCTGCACGGGAGGCTACGAAATGCCTCTTTTCCTGGGGTTCCATGTGCCCAGCTGCAATCCTGCTGCTAGGGAGGATATTGCGGCTCATGGAATAATTTCTTCCATACATGTCTGTGGCTGGACCAACGAGCAAGGGCTGGCATGTCATTACAGCTTGCAAAATTGTGCATACCTTGCCCAGGATGGGAGGGTCAGTCTCCCCTAGACCCTTGGGCCTTGTGCCAGGGAAATGTCTCATGTGAAAAAAGGAGGAAATCGATGCTTCATGGACACCCAATCACACAGACCGCGGGAACTATGTTCCCAAGATACAAGGTGAAATCCGTGAACGAGAGGGGACTGTCCAGCGGCAGGACATAATGGTAACTGGACTGTGGGGAAGGAAGTAACCAGAGATACAAAGAACTCCCGGAGAAAGTGCCGTTTTGGAAGACAGGAGCAATTTTAAGGAGAGATTGAATCAGATGAGGCCAGAGCACAGGTCTTGGGTTCAGCAAATGGGCCCGTGGAGATTTTCTGAGAGACCTGGTTGACTGTGGAAGGCAGATTGCAATAGGGCAAGAGGTGAGTGGGAACTGGGGAGGAAGAGTCCCGATGGCTGAGTTTTCTACCTAGAAGATTGGTAGAGGAGGCCTGGACAAAGTGGGGGGAGGCAGCCTGGGATCAAGAAAGTGCTTTGGTGTTTTTCGTTTTTTGTTTTTTGTTTTTTGCTTTGTTGGGGTTTTTTAGCCTGGACATGATAGATGATGGCATGTTTTTAGGTCACGGGGAAGTAGTCCAGGGAGAAGGAAACAAGAGGACAGAGTGGGGTGATCGATGGGACGAGGACTTGGAGGTCATAGGATCAGGAGAAGAGGTGGACCTTTTCGATGGAGAAGAAGGGCCCCAAGCACTGGAATTGCAAGGGTCCCCAGCCCTCCCGTGACCTGGATGGGAATGGTGGGCAGGCGGGGCGATGAACGAACATGTGAGTGTGGATGACGGGTCAGACCCTCTGCTAAGTGGCTCAGATTCATGCCTTACCTAGTGCTCGTGCAAACACTCACCAGTGGGGGCTAGGGTGGGGGGTCCCACTTTGCAGATGAGGAAAAGGAGGCTCGGACAGTGGTTTCTTGGCACATAGTTAGCATGTATAGCCATGCCTAAGTTCGTTATGAATTTTACTGATATAAAAGATACGTAGCACACAATTTACAGATAACAAAATATGTATCGCTTCTCTTGTCAATCCCACGTAGCCCGTTGGCTCTAACAAAAGGGCTCCCTGACTTTTGCTGGACTCTTGTAACTGTGGCCAGTGTAGGGTTGCAACTGACTAAAGAACATAGTTCCCAAATGAATGTTGCTTGATATTATGTTGGTTGATTTATAAGAAAAAAGGGGAAGGGCAGTCTACGGCCATGCCACCCTGAACAAGCCCGATCCCGTCTGATCTCGTGAAGCTAAGCAGGGTCGGGCCTGGTGAGTACTTGGATGGGAGACCACTTAGGGAGACCAGGTGCTGTAGGTGTAAAAAAATAAATCAATAAAAATAAAGGGATTGATTGTAAGCTGACAAGGTCCTTGCAATCTGTGAGGTCAACCAAGGGCTGCCTTGCCTAAAAAATAAAAATAAAAAATAAAAAAAGGGGAAGGGCACACGTGAGAACTTCTTTCATGTCTACGGCCACGCTACCCTGAATAAGCCCGATCTCATCTGATCTCAGAAGCTAAGCAGGATCGGGCCCGGTTAGTACTTGGAGAGAAGAATTTCATTCATTCCTCAGTGATGTGAGCAACTTCTCTACTGAATTTGATAATAGTTTTCAAATATTGGCAGAATATGCTCTCAATTTTTTTTTTTTTTTTTGGCACTATTCATAATGTAAAGGCTACAGTCAATATACAGTTTTAAGTTCATTTTGCATTTTTAACACTTTTCCATCACTTTCTCAAGAAAAGATTGTCTCGACAGTCAATGAAACAATAAACCAAGCCTGAATTCATAGCATCTCTTGGTTTCCATGGTATAATTACTCCCACCGGGGTCACTTTTAAGCTATCAATGGGATGTTGCAGTTGGGAAGATTCATAGTATGTGATGATGGCCCATCATCATACAGAATTTCCGCCTCAGAGATGGAATACATGTCAACAAACTTAAGAGCACAGATAATAGGAAATACAAAATAATCAAGAAATGATGGTTTCTTAGTATTACGTTTGCTTTTAATGTAATTTATTTAATTATAAATTAATGTGATTTAATTTTTAGCAACAGCTATCATTAACAACCAGCTCCTAAAATTTCTGCAAATCAGTTGGCTTACAAGCAGGTACCAGCCAGCTCCAGCACCCCTCTGGGCCCGGAGGTGTTGTGAAGAGTCCAGGGTCTCACTTCCCTGCCGACCGAAGCACAGGGAAAGCGGGGACGGGTGAAGTGGGCAGGAGAGGAGTCCGGAGGGCAGGGACTCCAGTCCTCTGTGCTTTCTGAATCACTGAGAGTGTCAGGAGCCATGAGGGCAGGGCCGTGGAGGTTTGGTTGAGCGCTATGAATCCAGACACCACCCTCGTCAGACTTCTAAATAGAAAATGTGTTCTCAGCATGCGAGCAGAAACAGACAAAGCCTTTGATCCGAGGATGGGACTTGGCAGGGTGGGAGGAGAGAGGTAACCATGCAGGCAGAAGTGCAGGTTCTGGGAATTAAAGGTTCCATGACAGGTGTTGCAAAGATTGGCTAGGAGTCCGTGTCAGGTTGGAACATAACCCCAGGTGCCAAGATAGCAGGAAATAGGAGAAGGAACCCTGGTCAGGGGGTGGGGCTGTGTCAACAGCAAACTCCAAATCGGATTTCTTGCCTTAATCAAGAACGAGTGGGCAGGGAGGACAGGTGTAAGGGTTAGAGAAGGACCCAGGGGTTCAAAATTTCAGCCTGAGTCTGGGACCAGAGAGTGAGAAAGGTTGAAGGTGAGTGGCCCCTGATCTGATCTCTGGGGATGCTGACATAGGGAGCCAAGGGTGAGAACCTCAGGGCCAGAGGATAATGAGAAACTGTGAGGCCGGGGCAGGGTTTCTCGTGCCTAGGAAACACCTGGGAAATTTGGAAAGCGTAATTCCTAGTCTCCAGCCCTAGGGATTCTGATTTGGAAAGAGCAACAGCACAACACTCCCTAGTAATATTTCCAGACTCCTGTGAAATGCAGGGAGAGTTTAGAAGAAAAGATGTAAGGAGTTTTCACTGAGATGCAAGGATCTGCCTTGAGCTACAAAGGGTATAACAGAGAAAAAGTCAGAATGGGCTAAATAAAAGAATGTCGTAGGAAATGGTAAATCTCAGATACGACACTGGAGAAGTGATGAGTGAGTGGACCAGGGGAGAGACTGATGAGACGCCCAAACGTGGATGCAGCTAGTGACGGAGAAACGAGAGAGAACCTGAGAGATGGTGAGCACAGGAGCAGGCTAGTTAGAAACAGAGGTTATGACACATCGATGTAAAAATCACGGAAATCTCAATGAAGGGAATGCTTTTCTGTAAATTTAAGACAATAAGAAAATGCGATGCATTATAGAAAGTGAACAACTCTGCCTGACACTACGTGCCCCCCCCCCGCAAAAAAAACCAGTCAAGTGCTGAGGAATATAGGGATTAATTCTTCGACATTATAATTTTTTTCAGTGTCATAAAAAGAATTCACGCATGTTGAAAAGGGTTATATCATATTCATTCTCTGACACCGTTATGATTCTGATAACAAAATCAGATAAAAATAACACATCAGAAATAAATTTGTATTAATAAATTTAATGAATATAGCTGTAAGACTTAAAACAGAGAATTGAATGTAGTTATAACATTTGAAATTATGTTAAGACTACAGGGGTAGCTTAAAATATATTCATGTCATAGGTGGATCAAATAAGAAAAATGATCATTTCAGTTAGGATACTCTCAGAGACGTTTGATGAAGTTTAACATTCATTCATAACACATTTAAAAATAAAACAGTATGCTTCTTCAACACGATAAAAATATTTGCTTTATAAATATCAAAGCATTTTATAAAGCAGTAATATTAAATAATGTAGTATGGGTACAAGAATAAACAAAACCAGTTAGTAGAACAGAATAGAAAATAATGAAAACAGATCTCCACGTGGAATATAGTATATGAAAAAGACCATTTTCAAATTGGTGGGAAAATAATGGGCTATTCAATAACAGGTATTAAGACAATTGTCTCTATACTTAGGAAAATGAAGTAAAGTACCTCTATTATATTTCTTCAGTAAAAAAAAATGCAGGTGACTTCAGAGCTGAATGTAAAAATAAAACCATAAAAGTATTAGAAGAAAATACAGGAAAATGGGTTTAGAACCTTATGGGTAAACATGATATAAAATACAAAAGCCAGAAAGGAAACGCATGAAAATTGATTACATCAAAATTTAAAATATTTTGCGTGGCCCAAGCTACCTTGAACTTAAAAGACGAACAAAAAAAAAACTGGTAGAAAGTAACTGAAAAATATGTTAACTAAAAATATGGAATTAATACTTAAATTAAAGTAACTAAAAATATGGAATTAATACTTAAATTATATAAAATACTCCAAATTAAAAGGAAAAAACAGCCAAATTGAAAAACAGGCAAAAGAAACAAGTGGGTAATTCACCAAAGAGGAAATAAAAGGTGACAATTTTTTTGCCTATCAGATTGGCAAACAGGAAAAAGGTTAATTATAAGCTTTGGCAAGACTGCAGGAAAGTGACTACCTGTATTCCATGACGGTGGCGGAGTAAATTGGAACAGCTGCTTGGGAGAACAGTTTAGCAGTGTTTATTTTAAAAACGTATGTACCCACCGTGTTTTTGCAAATTTTACCAAATTGAGAGACAAAGAGAAAAATCAGTTGGGGAACAGAGGATTTTAAGATGAATTTATCTGATACAGTATTATTGAAGATAAATTTGTTTTTAAAAAATGGCACCAAATCCCACTCGCAATACCGACAAAAAAAACCCCGTAATGTTTGGAAGAAAGTTTAGAATGATTTTAGTGGGTAACAAAAACCATATTGAATAAAAACTGAGGCATTCAGAGAAAATTTACATTGTAAAGGAATTCCTTGGCCACAGGCAGATGGATGCCATCGCAATCACATTCCCAGCGGGGAGGTTATTTTGTTATTGTTTTTTTCTAGAACTAAACAGTCTTATTTTGAAATTAAAGGTAGCAGGTAGAAGTGGGTGATAGGTGGGGATGTTAAAACAGTATCCTGAAGAAGAAGTGAAATGAGAAGACTGGCCCCAGTGGATGGGAACACGTGTAACACGGCAGCAAATAAAGCGGTGATGTCCTCGAGAATAGAAGGTGAACTTGGGAAGACCACCGGGAAGGAATATTCGCCGGGGGGTCCTTGCCCCGCAGCAGACCAGGTCCCTACATCCATGGCTGCAGACAACGAGCTCTGTTTGCTGGGTGCTCCATCTCCAAGTTCCCCTTCCCCACGCTCACTCTGTGAGTCTGTTTCTGCTGTTCCTCTGCAGGTCCAAGCCTTGTCCTCTGCCAGCAAGTTTGAAGCGGAGCTGAAAGCCGAGCAAGAGGAGCGGAAGCGAGAGGAGGAGAAGAGGAGGATCCGCCAGGCAGCCTTCCGGGAGCTCAAGGCCGCTTTCAGCACATAGTCTGGCGACCTTGACTTCTGTGCGCTGCTGTGCCTCACACATGCCCCGGGGAGAGCCGGCCCCCCGGCATCCTCACCTCTGCTGACCCCTCACCCCAACCAACCTCCATACCCACCGCCTAATGCAAACTCTTTAGCCTCAGAGGGGCGGCTTGGGGTGCCTCTCACCCCTTGAGTGGGAGCCCCTCCTGGAGGGTCCTGGGGTAGGCCCGCCTGCCCACCTTCCTCTGCCCTTCTCTGTAGTCAGAATGTGCCTCTACTTGGCAACCTGTACCTTTTCCTTGTCCCTGTAGCCTTCCACGTCAAAGAGTGGAAATTAGTTTGTACAGATACTTCTTTCTTTGGTGGTCCTCAGAGGAGTTAGTCCCTGGGGGGCTGTCATGTTAATGGGGTCCGTTTTCTTGGGTAATTCCCTGCACCTCTCCCGTCATGGCCTCCATCCCTTTGTTTCCCACCCGGCTACCCTGTTCTCATTCCTAGCCCGATTCTGCCAGTTGCCTTTGCATTTTTGTCGATCCTGTGATGATGGTAAGGTTTAGAGCAGGCCAGGCTGGACCACTGCCTGTCCCCTCTCCAAAGGGGGGTGTGGCATGCTGCCGAGATGACACAAAATAGTGGAAAGTTAAGAAGATCTGTTCCTGTCCTCTAGCGTTCTCGCTAGCGCACGGTCTCCATGCCTGCTCTTGTTCACTCTCCCCATTTCGGCCTTTTTTCCTGCTCTTAAATACTGTGCTTCTTAACTGTAATAATGAAAGAATAATTCGAAGTAATATTAATGAGTAGAAGAATTCCTGTTAACTCTGAGTCTACGCAAGTTGTAGTACAGCAGACCCCTGGCATTCCCAAGTGACAAATCTTCAGCCTTGCGGAATCCCAAAACTCATGACTATCCTCATCACGTGGTCAGTTTTCAACATCTGTTTCAAGGCGGTGAAGCTGTTCTTACCTCCAGCACAAATTTTTATATATTGTGAATTCTTGGGATACTCACAAATACCAGGGGTTTGTTGTATTTTTAAGAATAATTCCTAATGTCATATTTATGCTCTTTTGTAACCGCTGTCTTTATAATAAAGCATCTGCATTTCTACTTTACAGCCGTTTCTTTTTAAATAAACTATGCAAATAGACGTTGCCATCACATTTGTTGTTCGTCTTCTTAGAATTGGTGGAGAGAGCAGAGTGTTCTGTGTAGGGGCCACATCTGGCTCAGGCTCCTGTGGGACACTGAGTTCTGGAAGTCGAGTTAGAAGGACCCAGAGGCAGTGGACATGAAAACAGAATGGAGATGTGCCATCCGATCGTGCGATCATGCTTCTTGGTATTCATCCAAATGAGCTGAGGACATTCGTCCAGACAAAAATCCGCACATGAATGTTTATAGTGGCTTTATTCATAATTGCCCCAACCTGGAAGTAACCAACATATTCCTCAACTGGTAAATGGATAAACAAACTGTGGTACATCCACGCAAGGGAATATTAATTCAACAATGAAAAGAAATATTATTCAATATAAAAAGAAATAAGCTATCTAATTACCAAAAGATATGGAGGAAACTTAAAATATGTATTGCTAAGTGAAAGAAGCCAATCTGGGAAGGTTACATACTGTGTGATTCCAAGTACGTGACATTCTGGAAAAGGCAGAACTATGAAGACAGTAAAAAGATCAGGGGTTCCCAGGGGTCACGGGGGGTGGGATTGGAGAGGCATAAAAAGGCCTTGCACAGAGGATTTCTAGGTAGTGAAACTATTACTTTTATTACACTGTAATGACAGATACATTCATTATACAGTTGCCAAAACCCATAGAACTTGCAACACAAAGAATGGACCCTACGGTAAACTATGGACTTGAGTTAATAATAATGTATCAGTATGAGCACATCAATTGTAACAAGTGTCCCGCACTGAAGCAAGATGTTACACTTCGGGAAACTGAAGCGGGAGGGGAGAGACCTTTATGGGAACTGTACTTTCTGCTGTTTTTCTGTAAACCTAAAACTGCTTTAAAAAACAAAGTCTATTAATAAAAAGAAAAAGGAAGGAATGGGGAGAACAGGGTAATTACTTCGAACATCCATTTGCCTGTCTGGACAACGAGGCCCGTGGGAGATCTAAAAACTCTTGATCGCAGTGATAGAAAGTGTAACACGGAAGGACTGAAGACAAGAAAGGACAGATATTGGGCCGTGTAACTACGAAGACCAGGGACAGGACCTCTTTGCCCCTTTGTGGTTACGAAGTCCTTCAGATGTTTTCCTTTTGTGCTGCTCGCCTACAATTCCCATCCTCCAAGCCATGGCCTTCGTTGGTTCTTTCCTGGGTCTTTCCAGTGGCCTCCCGATCCGTGTCCTTGCCCTCATTCTGTCCTGATTGTCCACCCTGTAGCTAGAATAATTCTTATAACCTGCAAACCGTTCCTAACACTGCCCTTCAATATTTGGCTCTTCGTTTTCATGATCTGGCCCCCCTGCTCACCTCCCCTGCCCCATCCCCATCTCCTTCCAGACTGTACACTCCAGGTAAATGCAACACCAAGCGGTTCCTAGACAGTTCCACTCCTCCAGGCTTTGACACATGCTGTTTGCTCTGCCTGGCACTCTCTCCCTTGCCCTACTGGCAAACTACTTCTCATTGTTTATGACTCAGCTCGTGACACCGTAATGGTAGATACATTCGTTATACAGTTGCCAATTATTCAGGGAGCTCTCTTGATGGTCCCAGACTAAATAAAGGCTACCCTCGGTATTCCCATTTTGCCCTGAGTATTTCTCTATTGCAATCTTTACAGGATTATGCAGCATCCTTCTGTTTACTCCTCTTCCTCCTCCTTTGGATGATGAACTCTTCAAAGGGCAGGGCTCTGCCTTCCACACTGCTGTAGGACTAGCACAGTGCCCAGCATGCAGCAGGACCCCCCTTGCATGTTTGTTTCACAAAGACACCCCAGACAGAGGTGGGCAAGGGAGGACCCCTATCACGGGGCCAGGAACCTTCTAAGCACTCTGACTTAAATGGGAGCCTGGCCTGAGGGGACAGCTCTGAAAGGGAGGACAGCAGAGATTGTGGGGACATCATTCTCACTGGAAAAGTGATGAGTCTGCTCCCAAAGGCCCTCCTTTGACTGAGCAATCAGGAAAACAATCAGTTCTGCCTCTGCCCTGGAGGCTGAGGGGATGTAATGGGAGTTGGAGTCAGACACTAGGCCGGTAACTTAGCCTCACTGAGCCTGTTTCTTTGCCTGCCTAGTGGGGATGGTAACTTAGCCTCACTGAGCCTGTTTCTTTGCCTGTCTAGTGGGGATGATTGTCTACCTGGCAGATTCCACGGCTGACGTATATTTAGTGCTCAAGACATATTGATTCCCTCTCTACCTTCCACCCTCCACTACCGCAATTCTGTCTCCTGAGTTCTGGGCCTCCAAAGTCCTGTGCCAGGGCTCCTAGGCCAGGGTGGCCCTGGAATGCTCAGTCCTGGCTGCTGCTTTGGCTTCAAGCTCAGATGCCCACTTGCCTTGCTGCTCTGTTCTTTTGGGCCCCTTTTACTAACCAGCCTGGGGAGAATTCTGCCCATCTGCCTGCTTAGCAGCCATGCCCCCTGCAGCTGGCGATTGCTGAGCCCTCCCAGCCTGATCATGTGCCCTGACACCTGTGGCCTTGTCCCTGCTCAGATTTCTCCTTTCTGACTGTGCCCATTCACCGGGCCAGATTCTGGCCTCATCCCTGCTCACCGGCTCGACTGTAGGAGAACGATGGTTCCGTGGCCAGTCTCTGGGACCTGGGGGCTTGGGAGCGGGGTCCTGGGGTTGCCAACTTAGGATTCCACAGCTTGTGGAGGTGCTGAGAATGGGACCTTATCAGCGGGTCAGTCTCCCTGCTCCCCTCCTCCCCTTCCCAGAACCAATCACGTAGTATTGGCGGGAATGCACGTTGCTGCAGTCCTTTTGAAAGGCAGTTTGGTAGACTGTTAAAATTAAACATCGTGTCGGTATTAGTTACTTATTTTTGTTTTAACAAGTCATCCCATAACTGAGTGGCTTAAAGCAATATTTAACATTTATTATCTCATACGGTTTCTGAGGGTCAGGAATTCAGAAGCAGTTAAGCTGGGTGGTACTAGCTCAGTTAAAATGTCAGTTGGGGCGGCAGTCATCCGAAGGCTTGACTAGGGCTGGAGGATCCACTTCTGAGGGAACTCACTCATGTAGTTCACAGTTTGGTGCTGGCTCTTGGCTGGAGGTCTTGGTCATCTGCCACATGAACCCCTCCAGGGGACTGGGCTGCTTGAGTGCCCTCACAACATGGCAGCTGGTCTCCAGCAAAGCAGGTGTAAACCACGTTTTTTTAAAACCTATCTTCAGAAATCACACTCTGCCATTTCCTCAATATCTTACTGGCTACATGAGTCAGCTCGATTGGCAAAAATCATTGGGAGCCATCTTGGAGGCTGGCTACTGAAGAATCAGTTAGGGTTCTTAACTGCAAGTAACAGAATTTAAACCAGACTCACATAAGCAGAAGAGGAACTGACTGAGAAGGCATTAAGGAGCTCTCAGAATCACTGGCAGCGTTGCAGGGCCAGGCCAAGAAAATAGGCAGGGGGCCAGACGGCTGGCATTGTATCCAGAGGCACAACATGGGAACCAGCCAGGAATGGTGCCTGGGCCTGAATGCCCAGAGCTTTGGGGTGTCCTGCTTCTTCAGGTCGCTACTCCACATCCAGAGTCTGAGGTTGAGCCCAGCCACATGCCCATGTGTCGGGAGTGCTGGTCTCCTGTCGAGGGAGGCGAGCTCTGTCTCCCATCAACATTCTTATTCTCCCCAAACATGGAAAGTATTTCAGATGCAGGACAGGTGTGTAAGAGGGGCAGATGTCCACTGCTGTGATATTTCATGAGCTTTGACCCAAGGGTTTTACTTCTGGGAACTTATCCTATAGGTAAACATAAACTTGAACAAGGGTATATTTAAAGGGCTACTCATTACTCATTACTCTGTTGAATATAATATGAAAAAAAACAAAAAACAAAAAAACACTGGAAACAGGATCTCTACCAGCAGGGGATGGATGAAGTGTATGATGGTACATCCATTTAAATGAACACTGTTTGGCAGCCATTAAAAAGAATGTAGGGGACTCCAAGATACATTGACACATTGTTTCTCGGGAAAAGGCCAGGAGCAGAGCAGCACTCAGAGCCATGCTTAGGCTTTGTTTAGTTTGTTTTATGTGAGAGATGTAAAGCCATGTCTCTGCCCACGAAGAAGCACATTATGCTTGTTTATGCGCACATACAACATTTTGGGGAAACCACATGAGAAACTGTCAATAGTGAGCTTACCTGAGAAGAGGAGAGAGAACCTGAGGGTCCCGAGTAGGTCTAGGGGGATTTAATTTTTTTCCTTTATATGTTTTTGAATTCTAAAAAATTTTCAATCATAAGCGTGTACTGCTTTACTACTACTGCTGTTAATAATATTTAATAAGACAGAAAGAAGACTCTGGCCACAAAGAAAGTGAGAAGAGTAGCTGAACATGCATGCGGGACCCTCTGGGACAGCTAAAGTATGAAATCCTGTCTTCAAAGGCTCAAGAAAGAGAAAACGAATAACATTTTAGGAACACGTTGTGGGGCATTTATGTGAAATGATACGTTTATTTCATTCCAAGGTAGTTTTTATGATTTAATTGTCTTGGTATACATCTGGAGGTTGGAAACAAGAAAAGAATTTAAAACATGCAAGCACTTATACGATAAAAAATGTTTTCAAACATAAAAGTGGATCGGTGTCTATAGTTATCATCCGAGCAGCCTTTCTTGGATGTTTGCTCGGCTCTGTGACTCGGTACCTGCCCACTCTCTTTGACTTGTGTTTTCTCTTGTTTTTCAGTTGTGTACTCAACACTCCTAGTTAGGGTACCAATCCTGAGTGGCCCTCTCCACTAACAAATCCATCCTGCTTTTTCATCCACTTTCAAATTTCTGCATCTTTCTTTCCCCATCACTCACTTGTTCATAACCCTCTGTTCTCCCTGCTCCGTAGACACTTCCGGTCATGAATTCAACGGTGTTTTCCCCAGCCCCAGATGCCTTGAGAACTCTGAAGATTTGGCATTGCCAATCAATATTTTCCGCCCTCTGTTCCCTTTGTTATTATCTGAGTAGGGCAGATATCAGTCTACTAGTGTAATTTTAAAAACCACTATTTAATGAAACATTGTGGAGAGAGAATGAATAAAAAGAGAAGGCGCCTTTCCTGAGGATTAGATAATCAAGAATTTATTTGATCCTATAGGCATTTATTGTTTACTGTGTGCCAGGACAATGGCAGCTGCTGAGGATGCAAAGTCAAATAGTGGAGTGTGTGTAATGGTTAAAAGCACGGGATGTCCTTGGTTTTCATCATCATCATCATCATCATCATCATCATCATTATCTTCCTCCTTTAGATTCAGTTCCTGCTTTCTAGAAGCTTATAGTTTAGGGCAAAAAATATGGCTAAGACACTTTGAAAAACAGTCTGGCCGTTTCTGATACAGTTAAACAAGTACCACATAACCACTAATTCCATTTCTAGGTATTTACCCAAGTGAAGTAAAAACCTATGTTCACATAAATACCTGCATGTGAATATTCATAGGAGCTTCATTGATAATCTCCCCGAACATCCCTCAACTGGGCAATGGATAAACAAATGTAGTGCATACATCCAAAGAAATACTACTCAGCAATAAAAAAGAAGAAAGTACTGAAATATGAAACAGTATGGCTGACACTCAAATTCATTATGCTGAGTGAAAGAAGCCAGCCTCAAAAGGCTACATTCTATATGGTCTTGTTTATACGGTATCATAAAGCAAAACTATAAGGACAGAAAACAGTAGTTTCAGGGGCTGGAAGTGGAAGTTAAGGCTGACCACAAAGTGTCCTTGGGGGAACTTCTGTGGGTTATGGGACTATTCTGTACCTCGATTTTATTGGTAGTTACACACACCTGCATATATTTGTCAAAAGTTGCAGAACTGCACACTAAAAATGCTGAATTTTACTGTATGGAAATTATTCCTTTATATATATATGAAATTACAGACATAGATGGCATAGCAACTGAGAAGTGGCATGACAAGTTGGTTAGGGACATGGGCTTTGCAATCAGTCAGCCTGGGCTAGGAAGTCCTGGATGAGATATGGAGAAGGTAGGCACTACTCTCAAGTGTATAGTTGACTTTCCCAGTGTTCCTTAGTGCTCCCACCAGGATTACAAGAGAGAAAGCAAGGGCTTAATAACATAACAAGCATTAGCATTACTTTTTTTCCCCCTTAAAAACAGCAATTCAAGGGGTAAGTTCTTTGGTCTAGGGGAGGGAATTAAAGAAAGATTCACAGAGGCAGTAACACAATTTGGGTTTTTAAAGATGAGTGGGTGTTATGCAGGTTGGTGAGAAGTCAGGTACGTATTAACAATGACATTGTAACAAGAGGGAACAGCATGGACAAAGCCTAAAACAGAATGGCATCTCGGAGGGCCCTGTAATGTGGGCACATCTGGAGCGTTAAGTTCAGAGGAAAGAGGAAGGGGGTCAGTGACGATGACAGAGGATCCTGAGTTCAGTAGAATGGGACTGTGAAAGGCCCATTTGAGTTGAGAGTCTGCATTTCTAACAAGCTTGCAAATGATGCTGGCATTGTCGGTCCACTGACCACACTTTGAGTAGCAGCATAAAGGTCAAGGGAGGAAAGTATTTCGGGAAGTAGGAAGCGATCAATCACATTAAATACAGGGGAAGCACTAAGTCAAGATGAGAACTGAAAAACGTTATCAGCCTGTAGGTTGAGGTGTCCTTAGCTAAGGCAAGCAGTTGGTGGATGGGTCAGAATAGAAGCCACATTGGAGTGGCAGATGATGGCTTGTTGGATGTGGGAATTGGGAAAGTGCTGATAAACAACTTCTTTGGTGCAGTTTGGCTTTGAAAGGAGGCAGGGAGGTGGTTGGAGAAGGAATTGGAATTTTTAACGTTACTTTTAAGATGGAAGAATATTTGAGGATTTTTAAAAGCTGATCAGAAGAATCCTGTAAAAGGAGGAGAGGTTGGTGGCACCAGGAAAGAATAGGATGATCTGAGAAGGGTAGAGTTATCAGATTTAGCAAATAAAAACACAGGATGCCGAATTAAATTTGAATTTCAGAAAAACAACGAATACTCTTTTAGTGTAGGTATGTCTCCAGCATTGCTGGGCATCCTGTATTTTAATAGGCAACTGCCAAATGGGAGATTTTTAGGCAAAAGGGTTGCAGCCCCAGATGCACTAGGAAGGGGTTGGATCTCCTGAGGCCTTCCCAGCTGTCACATTCTAAGACTCTAGAATGAATTCCCAGTTCTACCAGAACCGTTAATAAGTAGAGAAACTGCTATGGATTTCAGCTTTTGTCGCTTCCTCGTTTTCTCTAGGATGGCAAGCAGGCAGGAAAATGCTGGATGAAAATCTGCGGAAAAGTTCTAGTTTGGAAAATCAGCTGGTAAATGATGCAGAACTTTTTGAACTGCGAACGGGCTCTGGATTGGGCACCGAGGACAGTGAGTCACAGGCTGCCTGGCCCGGGCCCAACTCTAGACACCAACCCCGCTCCACTCAAGGACAGGGAGGGAGCCCCGGCCCGGGGACCTGCAGGGGCCTGCGCCGGGCCGCCGCCCCGCCTTCTCCAGCCCGACATCCGGGGCTCGGGCAGGGGCGTGTCGGGGAAGAAGGGCGGGAGGCAGCGGAAAGGAAGGATGTCGTGGGAGGCTGGATGGGCAGGGAGGGAGGCGAGGCGGGGCGGGGGCGGGGCCGGGCCGGGGCGGGGCGAGAGCGCTGTCACGTGACCTGCGTGGCGACGTGTCGGCCATCTTGTGTTGTTGAGGCTGAGGACTGACTTGTGTTCTGAGAGACTCCCTGTCCCGGACCGCAGGTAACCAGCGACTCCGTCTCGCTCCCGTGCCCCGCTCCGCTCCGCGCCTTGGCTCCGCCGGCCCTCCGGGCTGCCCGGGCCTGTCGCCCGCGCCCGCGGCCCCGCTGCTCCGGCAGACCTGGCCCAGCCGCATGGGCACCCACAGGCCGCCCTGGCAGCGGCCGCGGCCGGCTTGGGCGTCAGGAGAGGGGACAGGTCAGGTGCGGGGCCGGAGAGAGCCTCCGCCTTGGCTGGGCGCACTCCGGGCCCGGGCGCATCTCGTCCTCGCATCCCGGGCGCCCCCTCCTCCAGGGCCCGTTGGCATCGCGGTGGGGAGCCGAGGAAGGGAAGAGGGTGGTGGGGTGGGCAGTGTCAGGCCGGCTTGCTCAGGGCCAGAAGGGCTCGCCTTCCGCTACCTGCACCTCGGGGCCAGTCGCCTGCCCAGTTTCGGGGCGCCCGGGGTAACAGCTGCTGCAGCCAGACAGCTGCTCCTACTGGCCCTCCTCCCCACATCTGGCCTCTGGGAGGTGCGCCCTTGCCTTCCTCACCCAGCATCTGCACTGGGAGGACTCCTTCCGTGGCGAGAGGACTGGGTCTGGACCAGGCCCGAGGCAAGGTGGAGCCATGATCGGAACCTGGGACAGAGGCTGGGAAAGTAGAGCCCGTGGCAGCTTTGAGACGCAAACGTTCACATAGGTAGAAATGGGCATTCACCTAAGTGTCAGCAGTTTCCCACGAAGCATTTGAATACTTCAGGTTTGTGGCTGAAACAGAAATCAGGCGACCAGGGAAAGGGGTATGGAAGAAGCAGGTGTATGTCCGTGATAGGGAAGCAGTAACGATGCTTTGCATTTATCTAGCACTGTTTTTTTTTTTTTTTCCTTCCTTTCCCCGAAAGTCAAAACACTTATGCACACCTAGTCTCTCTGTAAGAAAGGTAAGTATTCCAGTTTAACTTGCAAGAAATCGAGGAAGGGGCCAGAACCTGTGAGCAGCTCCTTATCCAGCGTTTCATACCTTGGATTATAAGCAGTTTTGATCCCCAGTGTTGTGAGCCGGGAAGATATTCTTTACTTATGTAGTGTATCCCTTTTAGATGCCTAGATTAAAAAAAAAATTTTTCTTGTCATCCTTTCTGTACATTAACTCTCATCCTTCTAATAATTGCAGCTCTGGCCGTACAGAGTTCGTCCCTATTGGTTAGAACATAAATGCATCCTGTCATTCATTGATGTTTTTATATGTTTCACTAGTTAGTGTAGCAGCTTTCAGAGTGCTCAAACTGGAATGTGTACTTTTCTGTTACATCAGATGTTGACATCAGTAGAGAGCAGTAGAAAAAAAATTTTAAGTGGCACGTATCTGGAAAAATGTCACACAATCCTTCCTTTGACATTTAACACTGAGGAATATACTGGTGATAGTGGTGATTCACTACAAAAGAAAGGGCTTCATACCTTTTGTATTTTTGATGAAGCATTTTGGAGTTTTGAGACTGACAAAGAAGTGACCATGTGCCTTCATTCATTTGTTCATTTATTTAACAAATATTGAGACCCTGCTACATTGTTGCGTGCTGGGAGCAAAACAGACCAAAAATTCCTGTCTCCATGGAGCTCATTACTAGACAAATACTTAGCTAAAATATATAGGGTAGTGGTAAGTGATGAGGAAAAAAATGAGACAGGGAAATAGGATATTAGGGAGTTGGGGGAGGGGTTAATTTTAAGTAGAGTGCCCTGGGAAGGCCTTATGGAAAAGCTAATATTTAAGGAAAGACCTGACAGAGGTAAAGGAGCTATTCCTGTAGCTATGTGGAGGAGGAATGCTCCAGGCTAGGGAAGTCAGAACGAAGATGCTGAGGCAGAAACGAGTGGAAGTGGATCTGCTGTGGCTGGGAAAAGAGACTAGTCTAACCAGAGAGGCCCAAGTGAGCGGTAGGCCGGTAGGAACTGTGTACTAAGATGAGAGGGGTTATTCAGTGGCTTGGAATCTTTTTCCCATACCTCTGTGACTCTTTGAAAGGGAAATCAGGTTCTGGAAATTTAGGCCAGTGTGCCCAACCTCCTCCCTCCATATGACCCCTTCCCCTCTCCATCCAATTTGGAAAAAACTCAGAATGCTCATAGAACATATTTCAGGAAGCTGTCATGAAATACCTTTCTCAAAAGTGAATTTTTAAATGAGATTGATGATAAACTGCCTAAAGGGGTTTTTCAAAAGGAATTACTTTCCAAGAAGGGGGTCTTTGGGATACTTCAAAATATTTGAAAATGTAGGGAAGTGATTTTCCCTTTAAGTTTAGATGGGTCATTAAGGGATATAACCTGGTAGAAGGTGACATCGATGTGTTAACTCACGTTGTCCTTAATGTGGCTGGTAAAGAATTCCTCTTAATGATTTCTGTGCTGTCCAGCCTGGTTTTATATTCCTCAGGGACACTTCCACTAATTTGTTTGTATATCTTTTATAGCATTTTGCATGTGTAGAACTTTTTGTGCTGAGTTTTTTATTCCTCCACTTTTACCTTTCAGACAAGTTCTCCAATTAATTAGATACCCAATAGACTTTTTCATTGGAAAAACATTTTTCTGATTTCAGTGTATCTCTGTATTATTACTAACTTTTGTAAATGCCCTTTTTTCATTTTAATTCACCTTAAGAACGGAATATTTTGTTTTTGAAATGTTTTGCTTGTGAGTTGCATATATGAAAAATAATTTGTCATAGGTTTGCCTGAAAATCATGAGAAGATAGGAATTACAACTTCAAGGTGTGAGTGGAGCTCCTTGACTAGAAGGAGGCAGTGATGATAGTGATGAGGGTAGTGTTGTAAATGAATCATCTTCTCCCTCTTGGTCCTTTGTTGAAGTTTCAAAGTGACATTTTCAAATTATAATGTCTTTGATGTCATACCAGCTCATTTGTTCTTGTGACTCTGCATTTTAGTGCTCTATGTGTCTGTTTTCTTTTTGTTAGTCTTCACACTGGAAGAAGACAGTGTTGATGGTGATTGCTATCTATGGGAACCTTTTTGGGTGAAAAGATTGTTACTGTCCCTTTTACCCTCGCCCTCCTAAAGGTCGTTGATTGGTGTCTCTTTCAACGACTGACTTCATTTGCAGTTCTCTGTGAGTCCTGACTGAGTAAATTTTTAGTAGTTTCTCTTTTATTTTATTTTTTATAGATTATAGTGGGACCAGTCTCATTCGGTTGAATCTATAGACTGTTGGTATTAATCCAGGTATCTCTATGGCAGGTTAAATGTTTATTTTTTTCCAACAATTTGAATTGCCTTATTATTTGGTTAACGTTGTAAAACTCAGAACCCAAGCTTTTTTCCCCTCCCTTGACCCCCAGGGTGATAAAGTCCTTGGATTCCCATTCATTTTTAATGATGAAGAATTACATAGCTTTACCATATAAGATTTTTACTCCATAGGTAAACTTAGAATGCTAATATTTCTTGACCAGATTAGCATTTTTTCATTTTTTTTATGCTCTCAGATGACTGAGAAATATACTAGGTTAATTATATAGGAATATAAAACGATACCTTTGTTGAATTGTCCATAATTTTGTGGAAGGTTGAAGGAGAAGAGGGGAGAAGTTTGAAAAACAAGGATAGTTCTTTAAGTGGCCAAAATTAATTTTATAAAAATGTTTTTAAATATTACATACTTTTCTACTTCCAGTAATTAAGTAGGGACAATTTTATATTTTCTCATTAATTACAGAATTTCATTGTTCTTTAACTTAATTTATATTTTTGAAAGGAGATACCCTAGAGCTTGTTCTCTTGAGTTAGGCATAGAGGAGAGTTTGTTTTGTTATCTAGTTCTTCTCCCTTTTCTTTCTGCCTTCCTTTATAAAAAGTAGAGAGTAGAGGGTAAAGTTGGATGATCTTTTGGACATTATAACACAGCTACTTTTTTTTAAAAAGATAAATCAGAGGCAGAACTATGACTTTCTCAGGTTGCTTTCTTGCTGTTAGTAAAATTGTCAACTTTAATTTTAATGATTGTATTTTAATTCCTTAGGAGCAGCATTCAGAGCATCATTTGATTTTAGCTAAGAAACCACTTGAAGCTATTGTGGTTCAGTCCACTCCCTGTCAGTGAAGCTATCACCATCTTGTGGATTTTTAAGAAACTGTCTCAACAGAGCATTAAAAGAAGGTTGTGATTTTGCAACTAAAAGCGCGCCTGGAGCTTTGCTCCTTGGACGTTTTGGCAGTGGTCACATTTCCTGGGGCTCATCGATTATTTGCATAGGATACGTATTGTATTGCTGTGTTACTGGCTGTCATTTTTCTATCAAATATGTTAAAAAAGTTAACACCAAATTCCTGTAATGCGGTTTTGAATGAAAACCCCAAATAATCACTTTCCTGAAACCTTATAGTGGTGCTTATTTGTTAGCTTCATCAGAATCACTTAGAACTTCCGTTAAAAATATGTATTTTTCAGTCCCACTCGAGTGCTACTGAGAGACTCTGTAGATGTTAGCACAGAGAATCTGGTTTATAAGCACAGCAGATGATTCTAATATTGTAATCAGGTTTGGAATCCATTTCCTGTAAAACATATTCATGGTAAAAAAAATGTGTTAAAGTTTCCTAGGAAATTGCTGGGTCATTTACTTTAATACTTTTATTATTTACAGCTTTAAAAGGACCTGAACAGAGTTTGCTCAAACCTCCTGCTGTGAACCAGCAGAACTTTTGAACAGGTGAGTGTTGAAAGGAAGTACAAAGCTGAGGGCTTAGGCAAACAGATGATTTTCACTTTTAAGGTTTTGGTTATTTTTGTCTTATTTTTTCTCCTGAGTTATAGATGGTGAGTAGAAACACTCTGGTACTTCTCAGGTCCCTTCTAAACCATAAGAATAATCATACTCTTTCTGCATTGATGCTGGTATACATTTGTGTCTTAAACTGTTGTAATGATTTTTTCGATGGCACGAAACAGGAAGAGGAATGCTTAGCGGGCAAGGGTAAGGAAGTATCCAAAGAGCAGTTGGCTTCACGAAAGGACACGAACTGGAAACTGGGAAGCTTTCAGGGGCCAGGGTTGTCCACGTAGCACTTTTCTCCCCTCTGGCTAGTCAGTGTCCTCTCTTGTCTCTTTTTAATCCTGCTTTAGTTGTCTTTCCACAGTCTGACCTTTTATGCTTTAACAGACACGTGGAAGATAAGTGACACTTCATTCCTAGAGCCACATATGACTTCACGCTCTAGGGCTACTAGCTAACTAGTTACCAACTCAGGGTCCACATTTCAGATTCTGGGAGGGAAAATTTGATTGGTTGAACTTGGTCCAGTTCTCCATCGTTGTTCCATTTAGTATGGCCTTGAGTTGGGGTCTGAATTGCAAACTAGTTAGTTGAGAGGTCCCACACCTAAGAGTGGCTACAGGTCCCAGAGAAGGTAGTATGTTGGCTATTCAAGTCAGAATCTCACAGAAGCTTCTAGAAAAATTTTCTTAGGAAAATTTCCTATAAATAGCTCAGCAATTTCATTTTGAGTTCTGAAGACTTAAAAACATATGCCTGTCTTGATGAATGAGGTCCAGTAGGTCTCACACCAAACATCCTTGTTGGCACTTCCTAGTGCAGTGTTTTAACAAAAGATCTTGATTTGGGGGGTTCAGATGAGCATCTGGTTTAACAAAAGAACATAAGCAAATGAAAGATTTAGTGTAAAAATTCAGTGGTTACTATTTTTCATTGATCGCTTTTACAAATTTTAACGTCTGGATACTTTTTACAGTATTAAGGAACACAAGTATTAGGAAGCTGTAGAAAATTTGAAGGGTGGGACTTCTGTATATGTATCTGTATTCACATTATTCGAGTGGTAGTAGGGACTTTCACTGTTAATGAAAGAATCAGTGAGACGGTGAGAATGCAAACTTTTGTATTTATATGTTTTTATATTCTAGAATTATTAGGTAATGCAGAAGCAAACTTTTTAAATGGACGTTTTGAAGTCTTATTTAATTTTGTTTATAGCTTGTATGTACATGGTGACTTCTAATTTTGTGAGTAATTATTACTTAATTCTTATGTTGGTATATTAGTTTATCGAGATTTTTGATGCAAAGGCGAGGGATTACTAATAAAAGTGATCTAGTATAGAGTATGTATCAAATGACAGGCCACAGATGTGACTTCCTATGATACCTTTTTCAGCCAAGATTTCTTTAGCAAATCAATTGTGGCTGAATTCATTTTTAAAGTAGAAGAGCCCTTTCTTCTATTGTACATTGTCTTTAATCTTGTGGGGGGAAGGTTTATTCAGGATGTTGTGAGGTTCAAAAAGATTGCCATGTAATCTGTGTAAAACTTCCACAAGCTCTGGGGATCCCTCTGAAAAGTTTAGCTTGTGCAGAGATTATCAGATGATGTGGTAACATTTATGACATTGTAACTTTTCCTAGAACAGTTCACAGTTGCTAATTTTGTTCTTCTTTCACCAAAAGGGGTAAAAAAGAAACATTTACAATTTGTTCCTAAGCAGTGGGGAAAATGATAGTAACAGTAAAAGCTTTTCTTCTTATAGTGATATTGTGGCCAGTATGTTCTTTAGGAACAGAGCTCCTTTTATTCAAGTTGTCCTGGGCCTGGAGGAAGCCTTGGGAGTTCTGGTCTCTTCAGTGTTGGTCCTTTGGTCCCAGAGACTGGCAAGGAATTGGCAGAGGTATGGTCTTGGTACTTTCTAAATGGTTAATCATGGCTTAGGTCTTGAAGACATGGCCACATCCAAGGGCTCTCATGTTTAGCCTCCCTTGGGAACTGAGATGGTGTTGCCCAAAGCATGGCCATTGAGTAACTGGATGTGAAGTCATCTTGCCAGATCAGTGGATCAGAGAGCCTTAATTCACGTTCCAGAATCTGATACTCTCCTTTAGTTTATTATTACTTCCACCATTGTTAATGAAATTCCCGACCATGTTATGAGTATATATACTCTTCCCTAACCAAAGGCTTAACTATATTTGCTTGAGTGATGTAAAGGGGTAAAAGTTGGAGGATGGTAGAACAGAATGGGAGATTGGGAAAAGGAGGAAAAGGGACTTCCACAAAATGAATTCTACTGAAAATTGCAAGGAAATGTGGGAGTAAAGGTAACCAAGTAATACTGAGCAGTGTATCAATATGTAGTAAAAAGCTTGTGGCCTTTTAAGCAGAGAAACCTGAGTTTAATTTTCTGTCGCTTCTTACCTGGAATGTCAGATAAATAAGTTAATCACTCAGAGCCTTATTTTCCTGACCTGTAAAGTATATCCCATGGTGGTTGCTGGAATTAAAAATCTAAAATGCCCAGTACAGTGCTTGATGTATAGTAAACAGGCTCTCGATGATGATAGCTTTTATGATTGTTACTATTATATAAGTAGGTAAATTTCTATTGTAAAATTTCGTATTTATAATTTGAATAGAGACATCAGTGGGTTCTGTTTGTCTTTTGTCTTTTTTTGTGTATTCAGCCCAACAAATATTTGAATACCTGCTTTGTGTCAGGTGCTGGGCTAGCCATAGTGGTGAACAAAACATACAAGGTTCTGTCTTCATGGGGCTTACAGCCTAGTGGCCTAGAGGCAATCAAAAAATCATATAAATAAATTTCAAAATGTGAGAAGTCTCTCTGTTCTTGGAAAAGGTACATTTTTAAAACTCTACATACTTTTTTTTAGTAATTGTCATATTTTGGATCTCAGTGTTCTTGTCATTGGTGTTTTATGTCCCTTGATATGCTTTCCAGGGTATGTATGTGTGTTTGTTCTAAGTTAATGTATGAATTTCTTTTGTCATTCTTTTTCTCTGAGATAGATGGTCTCAAATTTTTGATCTTAGGACTCCTTTACCCTCTTAAAAGTTACAGGAGCCCAAAGAGCTTTTGGTTTTTTAGTTCTATCTATATTTATATTGAGAAATTGAAAATTATTTATAAATTTATTTTGAAATGACAATTTTGTTACATGTTAACAAACATTTTTAAGGAAAAATACCCATTTTCTAAAACATTTCTAAAAAGTAGAGAGAGGAGGGACATTATTTCACCTTTTTGCAAATTGCTTTTATGTCTTGCTTTATAGAAGGCAGCTGGATTCTTTTATCTGCATCTGCATTCAGTTTGTTATTTGAGGTTGAAGTATATGAAGGAAATTCATCCTCACGAAGATATGTATGTAGTTGGAAAAGGGAGGAATTTTTAAGGGCTTTTTCAGATAATTGCAGATACTCTTTGATATTACACTAAAATTAGACAAGTAATTTTTAAAGGTTAATTACAGTGTGAAATCTGAATTATATCAATGCACTTTTTGTACTCTTTTACATTAAACTCCATTGGTCTCACACATTTAATGGATATTTTATATTTTACAGTATCAAAAATATCACAATATCAACATCCATCAACAAGACTTAAGTATTGGGAAAGTCTTAAGTATTGGAAAACTTGTCTAGGTCATATTGGCCAATTGAAGTTTTCTAAAATTCTAATTTTCACTTGAAAGCTCAAATTTTATAATTGGCAGCAAGTACTATTTTCCTTGACGTGACAGCCTCTCGTCATTCATTTTTGAAACTTTTTTACTAAATGCTCAGGGCTGGATAACCATAGTTGTGTGTCAGCTATTTCTTTCAAGTCAAAATGATGTTCCATGAAAAAAAAAAAAGGAACTAGTTGATTTTGCAACTCAAAACGCCTTCCTTTGAGCCTTTGGTATGCAGCAGAAGTGCTTTATGCATACCTCCCATTTCATCACATAGGATATTAAAAAGATGTGTACACAGGGATCAAAACTAATAACATCCAAAGTTGTTACTGCTTTGTCAAGGGCATTCTTAAGTAAAACTGGCTCTTGTGAGTGAATGGCACATGGTGGCGAAGGGTACAATGACAACTAGTATAGTTTGGTGCCATTAATTTGAATGATACTAAGGTGCCAGCAGTTTTACTCATCACTGCTTTGCGTGATCAGCGCAGTGCTAACATAGTGAAAAATGGAATTTAATGCTTTAGTGTTACTATAAAAATTGTTTTGATATCATGGATACCTTGAAAGAGTTTCAGAAGACTGGGAGACCTTTGAGAATTGCTGCTCTCGGGAGTGCACCAATTTTCAATGTTAGTTTATATATGTTACATTAATTTTTTTTTTTCTTAAAGCATTTAGCGAAAGAAAGTAATTGGTTGAAATACAAACTGGAATAAACATTTAGGGTTTTTAGATTTCAGCAAGGGTTTTTAGTACTGGGTAGAAATAGATTTGTTCATAAGTTATATAATTAGTTATAAAATAGTCTCTAATCCTATAAAAATAATCGTCTACACCAGCACTGTTCAGTATCTTTCTGCTGTGATGGAAATGTTACTTTTTTATTACAACTCAAATTCCCTTATTTTTGTAGTAGGCTTTATTTTTAAAAACAGTTTTAGATTTATCGAGAAATTGAGAAGATAGTATAGAGGACTCCGGTATGTATCACAACCAGTTTCCCCTATTAACATCTTTCCTTATTATGATACATTTGTTACAATTAATGAACCAGTATCGATACATTGTTAAGTAAAGTCTGTAGTTTGTTCAGATTTCCTTAGTGTTGCCTAGTGCGTTTTTCTGTTCTAGGATCCCGTTCAGGATACTACATTACATTCAATCAGTTATCCGTAGACTTCTCTTTTTTGTGACAGTTTTCTGACTTCATTTTTAACAGTCTGG